ATTTGTGGATCTCTTTATTTCTCGAAAACAACGAAAATTTAACCCCCGCGAAAATTAATTATTTCACAGTACATGTATTTCTTTTATTTAGAATTTTTTCTAAAAAGTATGAAATAACATGTAATCTTCGATTTACTAGTTTATAAAAAGAATTTTTGTGTATAACACATTTGATTTTATCCAGTTTGATAGAAATATTAGATTGTTTTTATATATAAATAAATGTATTTTTTCCAAATAGGCAATGACAGAAACTCGTCAGTGGAATTTTTTTTCAAATCTTGTATTTTTCCTTTATCGATTGCACACAGTGCATCTTTGTAGAAAAAAGGAAGCAAATTTAATTCTTGAAAATCTTTAAAGCTGACATAAACTCTTAAAAAGGAATTATTGTTCATCTTTTTAGGACTTAATTCATTCCTGTACGCCTTTTTTCCGCCGAAATTTTTCGATTCCGCCATAATTATTTCGCTTCCTGTACCTGCTATATTAAAGTGACAATACGGCGCATCTCTTCAAAAACAGACTTTTAAAAATTTTCCTATAGGATTTGGATTTCTTTTCATACTCATAAATGTATACACTTTCAGAAAATTTCAAATTTTATAAATAAATAATTCTGATTATTTCATTAAAATTAATAATTATTTATGGTCCATAAATATATACATTGCAACGTGTTCGAGGTTCCACATCCCATGCTATCGAGCATGCGCATAGTTTTCATAAACAAAACAGCATGGTATGAGAGGGAAGCCCGGTAGGCTTGCTACATTGACAAAGTCGACCAAAAAGAAAAACAAAACGAAAAATAGGGCTTGAAATTAAAACGCAACTTTGATGACGAAAATTTAGTTGGGAGATTTATATAATCATTGAATGAAGAAGAATGGAATCTCGGCGACATTCACGTTGGGATCGCGTAGGTTCTACCATACAGGTTTGTTGATACATGCTGTCATTTCTCGTATCTCCATGGCTTTCAAAGAAAAAAAAATCAGTGTAAACTCAACTTTAAAATGCACTTATGACATATAGAATTTATCGCCATTTGAAGTGCAAATTGTATTGGAACTACAGAAAGGTATTGTGTTTGACATTTTGCCGCGATGACGTATGATTTGGTGGATTTTCCTTTCCTGCACCCCCAATACATAAAACCTCAACATTTGTAATTAATCATGTTAAGGTTTCGTCAAAGGTCAACATGTCCAAAATTTTATTTTTACAATAGCCCCAAAACTATGTAAGGTATAAAGATAAAACTTTTACAGTTTATAATTTTTTTATTGATTAACAGATAGAAAGTATCACATGATAAAAAAAGAACTTAGAATAATATTAATTGAGAAAAATTCTTCTTAAAAATGCATATATTTTCAAAAAATACACCTAATTGACTCCGTGCTTTTAGTGAAAACCATCATTGCAGAAAAAAAATATGTTTATCAATGAAGGGCAAGTTGGACTTGGATAGCCTCTGGAAAGTTGTTTTCCCTGTTTATTTTGTCTAAATGTTAAAACTTGAAAGTGAAAGTACACTGCAAATGGCGGATTCTATAGGGGTCTTGTCTTTATACATGTCATGCTTTCAATAACAGCCTTTCAGAGACCATTCACGTCCAACTAGCCCTTCAATGATAAACATATATTATTTCTAGAATGTTGGTTTTCACAAAAAGGACAGAATTAAGCAGGAGCATTTTTCTTTAAATATGCACATTTTCTGATACAATTTTTCTCAAAAAATATATTTTTAAAAATATTTGTTATCAATTGATACTTTCTATCTATTATCAGTGATATTTTTATAAACTGTAAACGTTTTGACTTAATACCACACATAGTTTTGGAGCAATTCTAAAAATTATTTTTTTTGACATGTTGACCTTTGACGAAACCTTAAATTCGTCTTAATGCAGACTTATATGTTAAGTATTATTAATTTACCGGAGAGTTAAGATATTTTGATTCTCAGAATTGATTTTACTTAATATTCTATTATAATTGTAAACCCTACATTGTATGCATGTGCCAATTTAAAATTCACGTGGTACAAGTAAACAGATCTAAGTTGTACGACCCTTGATTTTCCGGCAGATTCTAATTACGTTAATTTTGTATGAGGAGGGAATATTTATTTTTCTCAAATGCTTAATTCAACTTTTAACCTTTTTCCTGAATGATATATTGGGTAAATATAAATAAAAAAGCACACGATTTGCAGCCGTATTGCCGCTTTAACCCTGATGTATTTTTTATACTTGAGTGGTTTTCTGGCCTTACTGTGGACATAGACACATCTCCGAAATCATAGTTCTAAGACACACCGTAAACTGACCATATGCATGTTTGAAAAGTATGAATCCAACACAGACTGAAATATACTGAAAAGTAAATAAATATTGTATGCTTTAGCTGCAATGTAGATGATGTGTGGTTTGCATTCATGTAAAACAGAAGCGGTTTGGATATACATGTATGCATATAAAGAAAACGCATCGAACGCTGTGATAAACACATTTACCTATAAACTACAGTTAGGTTTTTGATCTATTATATAAAACGTTTTAATGAAATCAATTATAATCATATAAGAATAATTGACACTCCTTTCTAATAAACTGTCTCACTAGTATAACATTAAGATACACTGAAAGGCTATGTCATTCATGTTTTAGCGAAGGGTTTAGGTCTCATACATTTGATCAGTGACCCGAATGGAGCCGAAGCTGTTAAATTGTTTGAGATATAGTTTGGAAAGTCATAAGCAAAAGGTCTGAAAATTTGTCAGGGAGATCATACGTACCAGGGTTAATGATCTGAATAAAGCCGACCTGTTCCTTGGTGATTGTGCATCTATTTCAATATAATTCAGAAGTTTACGTTTACCAACGCTGCATGTAACTAACTAGCTATCTTTTGATTCTTTCTTGATTTATACTCAAGGCAGGGATGCTTTATTAATAATATAAATATAATTGAGGATTGAGAAAACTGCTATCATTACAGGGATCTGCACATTTTTAAAGAATTACATCTAATTTTACTTTTATTGAAATATGCATATCAGAAGTTCTGAAATGCATTGATAACTAAACGGTGAAAACATTAATTTGTCACTGTATATGACTTGGGCACACGATCATTTTTTTTGGGGGGGGGGAATTCAAATGGAGAAATCTCACAAGAATTTCAGGTGATAGAGAAAATATGCAAATAAAATGTTTTATGTACAATTGCCAATGCAAATTCATTTTGACATAATAACCAGTTATGGAACTTTTCGATCATTAACATTTTCGTGTACTATCAAGAACCCAACTCACAGTTATTGTACTATCGCAGAATTTCAAGAAACCGCCTTCACTCTCCATTCTCATAAACAACAAGACATTTAGGTATGTTGCACTTTGCCACTAATGTGACTTTAATTGTAGAAAATACTTGTAATTAATTATGTAATAATTGATCATAAAATCCAGAAAATTATTAATAAACAACTTATTATCTGTATCAAAAATTCACAGCAGAATGAAACCGAATTATGAATATGATTAATATGTAAATCGTGATTACCTAATATATTGCGTAATTGATTACATAATATATCAAACATTCTTGTGGTCTGAAACCGAAAACGACGTAAAACACATTGAACACCTAGAAGATAAAGCTAGAATTAGACATCCTAAAAAAGGAAAAGGTGGCGGGGTGGAGGCGGCTTAAAATAATTTGAAGCTATCCAGCACACATGTACTTTTCACAGCGTCCTAAAAGAAACTGAAAAATGACGCTATCTGGACGACCGTGTCCAGATTTTTTACCGCGAACGATTTTCATTGGGCGTTTACTAAATGTTTACATTTCCAAGAATCGCTTGCATCTGCCTCTCCTAATTTGGACACACCAAAAACTTTCCAAGGATAATGCAAGCGCGATAACTCTTACACGCAGAGCATTCCAATGTACATAAAATATTTTAAGTAAAACTTAAAATTCATTTATGTACAATTGCCAATGCAAATTCATTTTGACATAATAACCAGTTATGGAACTTTTCGATCATTAACATTTTCGTGTACTATCAAGAACCCAACTCACAGTTATTGTACTATCGCAGAATTTCAAGAAACCGCCTTCACTCTCCATTCTCATAAACAACAAGACATTTAGGTATGTTGCACTTTGCCACTAATGTGACTTTAATTGTAGAAAATACTTGTAATTAATTATGTAATAATTGATCATAAAATCCAGAAAATTATTAATAAACAACTTATTATCTGTATCAAAAATTCACAGCAGAATGAAACCGAATTATGAATATGATTAATATGTAAATCGTGATTACCTAATATATTGCGTAATTGATTACATAATATATCAAACATTCTTGTGGTCTGAAACCGCCATGTACTTGATTAAATTTATACTTTAAATTAAATTTGATCAAGTTCAGACCCCAAGAAAAAGAAGCAAAACAAAGGGGCAAAGTGCAGTTATACCTGTCAAATTAAAAAGTAATTGTACAATTAAGACAGCAGAGATAAACATATGCCCTGCTTGTCCTTTTGAATGTCTGTATACACATGTAACACTTCTACACATATGAACAGATAGGAATAAACATATGTCCTATCATGTACAAAATGAATTCAAGAGTCATAAATATACAAGTAGATGAAAAATTCCAAGTCAGAGATAAACATATGCTCTGCTTGTCTTTCACAAAAGTAATTAAGTCTACTCAAGTCAGTTTATTACTAGAACTACTGCTACTGAGGGGGGAAAAATGCCACAAGTGTACTGTTTTAATCCAAACCAGGGATAAACATATGCCCTGGACTGAATATGTCATGGAAGGTTTATTCACCAACAATGATAATTATCAACTTTGGTAAATTATGTCCGACGACATCATGTAAACACGTGTTCTTGCCTAGGTGGAACGTTTGTCACACTCCTGTATGTTCTTATTTAACTTTTTTTTTTTTACGTTACTGCTAAAACATGTCACCAAATATTGTATGCATCAGAAATTAAGATGATCTCCAATGAAATGTCCAGGGTTGGTAATTTCCCCTTAACGCCGATCAAGATGGAAAAGGCGGAAGGGGAGGTATTCCTACTGGAAGTCTGTTCTGTCCAAGTAGCCAGTTCCCGGAATTGCTGTACCTTGGAACGAGAAAGATAGTCACATAGCAAATTTTCTTTGCTTGACAAACGTCTTGCTTTAAAATGAATATTAAATTCCAGACAGATTAACACAAGTGCTTGAATGTCAGTGTTAAACAAATTATATTTATTTGCAAGATATTTTGACCACGTTTGCACAGCGAATACTATAGGATAAAATTTAAAAATAGCAATATTCTGGTGTCTCCAATTAATATCCCAATTTCTTTGAAACCACTGACTACCAAGCACTACAGAATATCAAATAGACCCTGATGCATCAGTAACTTGTCCGGCAAAAAACTTGGTAGATCTATTGTGATTTGAAAGCAAACTCAGCCAAACATTAAGATCTCCTTTTACATTCTTTTTTAATTCTAATCTTATAGTATTGTTTTTTCTGTGTGTGTGTTTAATTCCATTTCAAGTCTATAAGTTTTCTAAGAAAAGACCTAATGGTAAATACTACATTACATGCAAAGTATGATAAACCCAATAGTGACTGCAATTCCTTAAGCGTCAATTTTTGTTGTTGTAAACTTCATTCAATTTTCTTAACACACTTAAGGATCTTATCATCTGGAAGCCTAGATTCCATTTTAACTGAATCCAGTTCATTGGTTTGATTTCAAAAGGTCCATAAACCCTCCCAGCCAAAATTTCTTTTCTATCTTGAGACATTAGCTGTGAGTTTTGGAAAGCAGAATTTAAATTCTATGATTCAATACTCGGGCTTTCACCAATAAAACCCAGCCAACAATTTTGCCAATCTACTTACTTTTGTCATCCCTTTGTTTGGAGGGGTTGGTAGATTCCTTCTTATTATTTGCTTGGGTGTGGAATTTTCTAAGGAAACGAAAGGGCTGCTGAGTTTGTTTGTTACAGTGATTAAATGGGTGGTTGCTACCACAGTTGTAACACCTGTGTTGGAAGCGACAGGATAAACCTGCACGACACTGCTTGCCTGCATGATAATTGAAACAAGCCCCTTTTGGAATTGGCCCTAATGGTGCGTCTTCACTACTTACTTTTGTCAATAGATCAGTCTTGAGTCTAGCGTTAACATACAATTCCATATGAACATCCCCCCATGCAACCTGTCCTTGAGATACAAGTTGTCTAAATTCTGCATCATAATATTTCCAATTACCTTTGGCATCAGCAATGTCTCGTACTGCCTCTAAATGCTTGGCTAATTTTGACTGCTGTTCAGGATATTTTATACAATATATTGCTGCATACCTGTTCCAAGCTGTAATCCAGTCATGCATAGAAGAAACACTTGACTTGTCTTCAGCATCGTTCTCAACCTGGTGAATGGTTAATTTCCCCTGAGAATCACTATTTTCTACTTGCAAAGAAAACTTACCCTTTTTCTGTTTTTCTTTCGATAAAAGTTTGACAAAATCAATGCACTGATTCGACCATATCTTAGACTTGATTTGGTCAGACACAAGAGCTTCTATTGGCACTGCTGTGCTGACAAATCCTGTTTGTCCCTTACCTTTATTTGCTTCAGTGGCCTCGGGCAATACACTTAATTGAGAATTTACCGTGGCACTATTATCTGAGATGGTAATCTGTGGAGATGCTTGCACGTTACTATTATCTATACTCCCCTGATTATCTAAATCCGATGATCTAGCGTTGACAACTTCTTTAATAAGTGTTGTTATTGAAGCCGTAACCCTTTCCGTGACAGTTTTGGTGATTTCATCCACCACATCATCAGGTACCGAGATTTGGTCTGCTACCAATCGTCTTTTCTTTCCTAGTCGGGAAGTAGCGGGTGGAACCGCTCGTGCCCTACTTGACTGTCTCTTTGGAGGCATTGAATATATACTGAAAATATATACTTTTAATTCTTTAGTGATGCTGTAAAAAGAAATACTTATTGTCAATAAAAATCAATAGATATGGTGAGATTTGTATTTTCAAGATTTGTCCTGTAAACAACGACAAATAGATAAATACATTTACTAAAATCCCCTTTTTATTATTGTTATATATTATCATTATTATTATTTTGTTTTATATACTAGCCTTTCCGAATAAAACAGTTACCCTCTAAAGTAATGCTGATTTCAAAAACTAAAATGTTACCATAGAATGTTTAATAAAAAATTATTGTCCTCAGGAAACACAAACAACTTGTGTTGATCCTAATGAGGAAAACCTCAAGAGAGGAGTTTTAATCAATATTGTCCTCAGGAAACACAAACAACTTGTGTTGATCCTAATGAGGAAAACCTCAAGAGAGGAGTTTTAATCAATATTGTCCTCAGGAAACACAAAACAACTTGTGTTGCTCCTAATGAGGAAAACCTCAAGAGAGGAGTTTTAATCAATATTGTCCTCAGGAAACACAAAACAACTTGTGTTGATCCTAATGAGGAAAACCTCAAAAGAGGAGTTTGAAATATTGTCCTCAGGAAACACAAACAACTTGTGTTGATCCTATTGAGGAAAACCTCGATAGAGGAGTTTTAATACTATATTGACAACAAGAAATTCAAACAACTTGTGTTGATCTTAATGAGGTAAAATACTAGTAAATCAGAAATATAAAAAAAAATAATAATAAATAAATAAATAAATAAATTATAGATTTAAATAGATCGATCAGTAGTTAAGTCAATAAATAAACAAAATAAATAATTAATTAATCAATTGATAAAGTACATGTAAATTGAATAAAAACATATTTCCTCAACAAAGAAATGAGCGTTTTTTGATTATAAGAACAAGCAAAGTTTATAATCAATATCAGAACTCGATCATCGTATCAACAAAAATTTATTATTATTATTATTTTTTTTTAATATAAAATTTTATATAAATCATTATTATTTCTGCGTTATGCATTTCTACTCTCTATATCGGACAAAAGTTCTCTTTATCTTGTACACTTGTACACATAAAATGATTTATCGCTTCCGCAGTGAGCGCAGTGAGGTCATGTTGACCTACACATGTAAAACAAACGTGGCCAGTACTGGCCACAAAGGCTTCAACCTAGATAATCGAAAATGGACGCCATCTAACAGAAATTCTTGCAAAATTAAATTAGACATAGTCAATTTAGAGGAAAGCAAAATGAATAATCAATATTCTTACAATTATTTAAGAATGAAAACGGAATATTTACGTTTCCTACAGTCAGGCTTACTATCGCTACTATGATAGCGATTCCCGATCAGTTTATTTCTTTTCTTTTTTTTTTTTTTTTTTTTTTTTTTTAAATATTATTCTACAGTAGCAAGTTATCCACATATGCAAATAGTATACAAAATAACAATAGCGATGGATAGCAATTATTAATATCGATAACAGCAAAATGTTATGCACTTCATCTTTGAAAGATTGTTAGATAAATAAAACCAATAAGTATGAGGAAAAAACAAACGTGTTTCCTTACCGCTTAAAATAATTTGAAGCTATCCAGCACACATGTACTTTTCACAGCGTCCTAAAAGAAACTGAAAAATGACGCTATCTGGACGACCGTGTCCAGATTTTTTACCGCGAACGATTTTCATTGGTCGTTTACTAAATGTTTACATTTCCAAGAATCGCTTGCATCTGCCTCTCCTAATTTGGACACACCAAAAACTTTCCAAGGATAATGCAAGCGCGATAACTCTTACACGCAGAGCATTCCAATGTACATAAAATATTTTAAGTAAAACTTAAAATTCATTTACAAATCAAAATTTCTATAATATATTTATAAACGTGGCGAAACTACATTAAATTTACAACATAATATGCATTATCATGAATCTTTCTGTAATGTATGGATATTTACAAATGTAAAATTATGAACAAAGCAGAATATAGAAACAATAGACGAATCATTCAGAGGAAATACGAATGGAGTTTAGAAACGACTAAATTTTCTGAATTTAAATAATAATGTAAGCATCTTATTATTATTTCTATAGTTGCATTTGTACTATTCGAACAACATTAAGAGAAATTTAAAAAATATTATGTCCGCCATTATGAATCGCCATTTGCACATTTTCATGAAGTCCAGCATATTTTTCGTATGTAGCATACTCGAGATTTGGTTAAAAATTATGTTTGACCAAATGAAAATTTTTTGACGTAAGAAGTATTTTTTTCTACAATCGGACCAGACTGGAATAGAGAAACTGTTTATAATATCTATCATAAGTTTGACAGACATTAAGGCTTTAAGAAGGTACATTGAATCATCAAATTGTTGTAACATTTTAATTTCACATTGATCATTTACTTGAAATCGTTTAAACCCTTTGAACTGTTCTGATTTTTTATTCTAATTGACAATATTTCGCTAGCAAGTATAAATAACAATGCAGAGGTGGGACACCTTTGTATGAAGCCTCTTATCATTCTACAAGTTTTTGAAATAAAACTATAATTATTCTTTACTCTAGAAGTAGGTTTATTGAATAGAATTGAAATCCATTTAATGAAATTTAGACCAAAATTATCTTCTTCTAATGATTTTATTATTTGATATTCAACAGTATCAAAAGCTTTTAAAATCTAAAATAGGGAAAAAAAACTAACAATAAGCAATTTTCTGTATAATTTAAAAAAATATTTTCTAACAAACCTTACAAAAATGTGATGGATTATCCAATGTACTGACCTTCGATAATATCCTTGATGACATGTAAACATGTCATGATGTACTTTTCTCCAACACGGAAACCTGTTCCTTTTTGATTTCCGTCAACATAAATTAGTCCTACACTTCTGGTGACTTCAGCCTTTACGTTTGTTGTCAGTGTGTCCTGGTGAGGAGCTCTTTTGGAGAAGGGAAAGGCAGATCCAAAATACCCTGTGTAAATACATGCTATGTAAGGGAAAAGTATGATGAAAGACACATAGTGACACATTATCATGAAATAGGAAAAGATTACACCATTCAGTCGACTAAATGGTCAATTTATGACAACTGAAAGAAAACTGAAAGTCACTTAAAAAGTTTGTGAGTGACTTTTTAGAGACCTTTCAGATATCATTCCGTAAACTGAATGTAATGAAAATATAAGTTCTCTTTCAGTTAAATCATTTTTATTTCATAATTTGCTGTTTTTAAAACTTGAGAATTTTTATCTTATAATACATTTCCGATATGATGGTATCTATATGATCTATTTTTGAATTTAAAAAGGGAATCCTGAAAAAATATAGTTGTACTCGGACTGGTCTACTACCGCTTTCTATTCCTCACCTAAACTGCTGCGCCACAACGATTTACGAATATGAAAGTTGAACAAGATCAGAACTCGTTGCGAGCAAAGAGTTTTTCTTGTGTCAGATTTTTTTTATAAGATAAGATAACATTTTGACTATATTTTCGTTCAAATACAATGATACAAATCAATTGTCAAGACGATAAGTTTTACCTCAAGAATAAGTAATAAATTATTGGTTATAAAAGAATAATAGCCTGCAGACTTTTGGGCCCTTCTAGCCCCTATAACATGAAGGATTAGCCCTTACCTTAATATCACATTAAAGCTCTACATGTTTTGAACATTTTCTATTTAAAACAGTCATTCAGAAATTCTTTTTCGTGAACCGAGATATTTGCAAAAGAAATCATTAGGAACTGGCACTTGAAATCCTGAATGGGGACGTGTAGCAAAAATTGTAAAGTGCATATTGTTTTAAACATTATTTTGAACTTCTTTTGTTCAGTATATCATTTCATAATGGTAGACTAAATTTATACTAATAATTTATCTCTTATGTATTTATTAAATTAGTCTGAGGACAGATTAACATTTTGTGGGGGAGTATGTGGAAGACAAAATTTATAATAATAATTTATCTCTTATGTATTTATTCGTTTTGGGATCATGCTATTTTTCGTTTGATCTAAAGTAATGTTAAATATTTTTATCTTCAGTTTCATTGGTTCACTTGATATTATGATATTGATATTGATATTATCCAAAATTTTTAATTTAAGTAACCGATTAAACTAAGCAAAATTGGGCAGTATTACATATCAAAGGAGAAATTATATCCAGCTGAGACTATAGTATCCGATGCATCTTGTGGTATGTATCTTTCATATTTGATTATTCATTAAAGGCTTGAGTTTGAAACATTATTTTAATTGCAAAGTTTATACTTGATCGTATTTTTGCAGATAAAGTTGTCTCAGTAAATTCTTGTATTTAGTCTGTAAGTTCAAAGTTCATTTTGCTATAGTACATTTTCCAAACTAGTATATGTATAATACTCTTATTGTCAATGCTAATGAAACTAAATGTAAATTGTATTTTTTTTAAACGGATACCACCATCTTATCCATCATTTTCCCTTTACTGCTCGGTTACAATATTTTCTACTTTCGGGATATAGTGTGCCAAAGATTTCACATATTGGTCCCTTTTGGCCCTTAATTATGCAACCTGCAAAGAATATGTCTTGCATAAAGTTGCATGTTGTTAAGACGAAAACTTTTACTTCAGTGAAAATATTTATTATAAAGGAGACATTGAAAAAGGGACTATGGTCGTAAAGACGAATAATAATCATGGGGTGAAAAAAATTGATGAAAAAAGCCCAAGGGGTAATTTTTTATGTCAATTGTAAAAAAAAAATGACTCCAATTGACTAATGACCTCTTTTTCAATGATACAAACTTTTTAGTTGAGGCAAAGTATCAAATCGATTGCAAAAATGCGTATACCATTTTAGCATTTTTAAGAATTTAACAACGAATCCGTGGGAAAATTTCCAAAAAACATATTTGTACCATGCACGGTACATATCTTATTTAATTATACCTGCACTTTCTAAAGAAAGTTCGGGTATATTGTTGTTACTCATGTCCGTCCGTCCGTCTGTCTGTCCGTCCGTCCGTCTGTCACACTTTTCTTCCCTGAACTCCTCCTACATTTTTCACAGTAGCTTAATCATCTTTTGGGAGATGGTTTGGGGTGTCATGTAGATGTGCAGTAAGGTTTCGGAATTTTGATTTTGTCCCGGGGGATCAAATGGGTGTCGAAAAATGACGTTTTTTATGCTAAAAGCCCCTTCTTCCCTGAACTCCTTCTACATTTTACTCAGCAGCCTAATCATCTTTTGAGAGATGGTTGGTGGTGTCATGTAGATGTGCAGTAAGGTTTCGGAATTTTGATTTTGCCCCGGGGGATCAAATGGGGGTCGAAAAATGACGTTTTTTATGCTAAAAGTGCCGTCTTCCCTGAACTCCTTCTACATTTTATTCAGCAGCCTAATTATCTATTGGGAGATGGTTGGTGGTGTCATGTTGATGTGCAGTAAGGTTTCTGTATTTTGATTTTGCCCTGGGGGGTCAAATGGGGGTAAAAAAATGATGTTTTTTATGAAAAAAGCACCGTCTTCCCTGAACTCCTTCTCAATTTACTCAGCAGCCTAATCATCTTTTGAAAGATGATTTGTGGTTTCATGTAGATGTGCAGTAAGGTTTCGGAATTTTGATTTTGCCCTGAAGGGTCAAATCGGGGTAGAAAAATGATGGGTTTTTTTATGTAAAAAGCACCGTTTTCACTGAACTCCTCTTACATTTGACTAAGTAGCCTAATCATCTTTTAAGAGATGTTTGGTGGTGTCATGTAGATGTGCAGTAAGTTTTCAGAATTTTGATTTTGCCCCGGGGGGTCAAATGGGGGTCGAAAAATGATGTTTTTTATGCAAAAAGCACCGTCTTCCCTGAACTCCTTCTACATTTTACTCAGCAGCCTAATCATCTTTTGGGAGTTGGTTGGTGGTGTCATGAGAATGTGTAGTAAGGTTTCGGAATTTTGATTTTGGCCCGAGGGGTTGAATGGGGGTCGAAAATGGTGTTTTTTATGCGAAAAGCCCCGTCTTCCCTGGACTCCTCTTACATTTT